GACTTGGGATGAGCTACAATTACACTGAAGACTGTTTCTAATCATATATACATAATATCCAAAATATATTTGGGGCTCTCACCTCCTTAATGTGGCCTCAAAATAAAGTAAGTTGAGATTGCTTTGGCATAATAAATTACCGATTATGACGTACATACGACTCTGACAGAAAAGCTGATGCATCTAATGCTGTTCCGCGGTGTCAGACATTTTTATTCGTAGTGAAATTTGAAACACAAAACTGTTTGACTGTCACTCACAATTCGTATTTTCTCTGTTACAATGATGTTACTGGAACCTCGCCCCTTCAATGCACACCCATTTTCAGAAACGTCGACACAGCGTTTTTATTACTCAAGCTTCGTATGTCTGTAACTCTTGAGGTACATTGGAGACAGCCATGTTTCTTTATACTGTTGGCCATATTCTGATCCTTATAATTTGAAAACTATGTTATAAATGGATTCTATTATTCTTTCAGGTAATAATAACAGCCTCATCGACCAACCTGATCTGAAATTAGAAGTTCGGCCGAAGAGATGCCGTCAACTTAAGGGCGGAGAGAAAAAGTGCAAACATCCTGTTGCGAAAATACGACGACCGCCGATCGCCTTCATGCTCTTCTCGAATGAATGGAGGAAGAAGATTGCTATCAAACATCCAGGAGAGAGCAACAGACAGATCAGCGTGAGGTAAGTTGCAATACAAAGTGTACTTCAGGACAATTAATTGTTAACAATTTAATGTGCACGACAAATTGTCTTCAAAGGCATTCGAGTTCAGCGGACATGCAAGACCATTGTACGCAAGTTAACGATTACAAACATGGCGCCGGTGCGAACCTGTAAAATTACGTGTGAGATTTCCCGTGTTCAGAACCCAAAGAGAGGAAAAGGCAAACAACATATTTCGTGGTGACGCTGATGATTGTGGTTATTATAAACTATGAGCCCTAATAATTGAAAAAAAAAAGGTTGACTCTTGTAAAATTCAGCACATTAAGTTAAAGGCTAGTTTGATTTTCATTTCTGGATTATAAATCTAAATTTACTTCATTATAAACTGAACGCATGATATGTAGGACAGAAGTCTAGCCCACGGTAGAGAAGTAGAATTTATGAGTCCGCCCAAAACTATTCTTCCACTGTAAAATTGAAAAGGCTCCAAAATTGGCAGAGAATGCATGAGGTGAGTTCGTAATTGGATATCTCACTTCCATTTGCTGAAAATGTTCTGATCGTCGAGAACAGGTGAAAAATTTCGTGCGCTCTCGTACGGCACTGTCTTTGCCTTTACCCACCTGCAACCCTTGGACGTTCTTCCTCCGGTTCGTCCTACAACCTTACAAGTTATGCTTCTTCTGTTTGCAGACTTGGCTTAATGTGGAAGGCAATGGAAGGAGTGCAGAAGATCGAGTATTTTACCCTCGCCCGTCAGGCGGACGCCGAGCACAAGAAGAAATATCCCGGTAGGTAATTAATTCTCTTTTAATGCCAACAAGCAGCAGAAAGATTCCAAAAAATGCACCCGAGAATTCTGAGAAACATCAGCGATTTTGATTTATTTGGGATTGACTGCTAGCGATTTTAATAAGAGAACTTTTGAAGAGTATTTATTTTCTCCAAAACCTTTTCATCTACTTACGAGTCAATGCAGCAGATATTATAATATTAAAATGGGAGGAACTTAAACATTTAATTTTGCAATTAGACACGATCAAAGACATTGTATTGTTCCTGTCTTTCGGTAATAAAAGACGCCAAATCACGCGATCAGAAACAACCGTTTACGGAATGCTGTGACCTGAATGTCAGTCTTTCCGTTTTCAGATTATGTCTACAACCCAAAAGAGGTCCGCAGACAAAAGCGCCTTCGAGAGCAGGCCCGTGGTAAAAAATTGAGACGCCTCACGACGGCGCAGACCAGCAGCGCCCGTCCGATGCCTGCCGAAGAACATCAAAGAGAAGGAAGATTCCCACGCACACAAGTTGTCGCTTTGTCAGAGGTAAGTCGTCGTCATACTCTCTGGACGAAGTCACTCGCCTGCCATCTGTCGCTTGCACATGGAAAACAAACAAGTGTGGAAAGTCAGTGGCGAAAGATGACTAGAGTAAACTCTCGATTATTGGCGTTGGTCGTGAAGTTTATCTTCCTCTGTTTGTAAGAACGCATTGCAGTTGAACTTATTTAGCGGATTTCACTATTTAAATCACTAAAACTCTACTCTAAGTTTTAAACATTAATTTATCTGCCCTTCAATTTCTTTAAAAATAAACTGGCTGTTGAAAGCAAAGATATTTTACAAATAGTTTATATTTATAAGGACATTAAATATTCACACTTGTCCATTTTTCTTGACCTACGAGAATTACGTCATTTCCTACTTGAGCACAGAAATCTCCTATAATTAAACGTTTATTCCTGTTAACCATTTCTGTTGGGTTTACATCAAAATCCTCTGTCACATTTCAATCAGATCCCGATTGGAAAGCGTGCATCTGCTTAATATCCACCAGTTAATTTCCATCGTACTATTATATCGCACGTCGTATCAATACTATGAGAAGTTTTTTTCATTGCTTGCAGCCCACTAATCCAACATTTTCTGAATTTGAGGGACAAAACCAAATCGGGGAAAATTCACCGCCTTCTAAGACCCAGTCGAGCACAGCAGAAATTACGGGCTCACTGAATTTCTTTTGTGACGTCACCAGAGGTGCAGAAGACGCAAATGTTCCTATTCCAGCTTTTGAGCAAGATTTTGGTTCGGCAGAATTTGGCCCTAATTGTCAACAAGTACTCTGTGTACTTTTCTGCGATCTACATTATATGATATGAAAAATTATATTTAAGTTTAGTTAATACATTTTGGATCAAACGGTAGTAAATATTATATTCGAATTTATTTAAAATAATAAAGCATTTGACCTCCCTCCGACTCGTAAATTCGGTGCAGTTCAAAATCACACGACATAAAAGTTACAACACCTGGTGAGGTTATGACACGTAGATGAAACAGAGGGTCAAACAGAGGTCACCCCAAAAACTGCTGAATCAGGTCCACGTAAATAGAATAAGTCCAGTGTCTCTCACCTTGAGTTTCGTCACAAATTCCTTCAAAACCTGCATCCATAGAGATCGCCTAACGCAAGACATTCGCTGCATCAGTTTCCATACTTGTTACCAATAATTCCAGTTCTTGTTCTGATCCAAATGTTTATTTCTTTTCCAGATTCCAGGAATGGACGATATTCAATTTACATCTACTTTGTGAAATATCATGACAAAGCCAATTTAGAATAGTTAAGTGCTTAAATAGTCAAATTGTTTTAGAAAATTATTTAAATTATTTATTTTTTGTTAAGTAGCTAAATTGCTTATATTTAACTAATTAACAAAATGTAAGCAATTTAGCTACATAACAAAAAATAAATATTTCAATTTTTAAATAGTTTCTAATTAAATATGATTTATATATTTAAGAATATTAAATAAAAAACATGTTCACAAACTTTCCTCTTGTTAATTTGGCAAAGTAATATTTTAATGAACATGTCGCCCTCAGTGCACTAGTGGTTAATGTGGTCGCCACTGGACCCAAGGTACGTGGGTTCAAACC